GGATGAAAAAAAGAAAAACACAAAAGGATATAAATATGAAATTCTCAATGTCCCAGAGACCGATGAGCGCGAACAAAGCAAATGACAAAAAGCTTTGTTAATACAAGAATCCTTTAAAACCATGCCTCGATTTCCCCATTTTGACCCTCCCCTTTTCTTTTTCCTTTTTTTTTTTCTCTCTATGACCAAAAAAAAAGTGATGAATAATTTTTGCAAAAGAGATTCTTTTCTTCAGACTAATATTTTAGTTCTATAATATAATCTGTATTCTATTGATCCAAGTAATTATTAGTTCAGAACTTTATTAACGCGATGTCTCGTGGTGTAAAAAAGTTAATAATGTGAACACTTCGACTTGTTCTAATTATAGCAAGTTGATTACTAAAGTCAAAAATAATTTCTAAGTTCGACTTTGTGATTTTTATACAATAAAGTCTAGAAGCAACTGTGATCGAAATAAAACGAGTACTCTATTTTACTTTAATATCACTAATTATATGCGAGCAAATTGGTCTTTTTAATCTTCTCTCTTTTTCTTTCATAAAATATTTCAGATTAAAACGCAAAGATTATTTTTTAATTAAAATATCATTAATATCTAAATAGTCACAAATATTAAATTAAATATTACATACAATTTTTTTAAAATGAAGCACAAGAAACCTCTAAATCATTTTATAAAATAGAACGGTTGGAATATTACTTAGTACTATTTAGTCAAACAATTCATATATAATTCGTTTATAATATTATTGGCTTAGTTTAAAAAGATAATTTGTAATTAAGAGAGAATGTTAGTGGTATTTACGTAATCAAGTCACGAAAGAAAAAGAAAGTTAAAAAAAGAGTCAAAGTTTGTGCTAATTCGAAACCACTAAAGTCGTCTCAGCTTAAAAAGAAAACATATTTTAAATCCAAAAGAAGACGACAAAAGTCTCGCTCTCTCTTTTTCTTTCTCTCTTTCAATTCAAAATCTCCCCATACATTTTTTGTTTTCTCTTATAAAAGATTTTCTCGACAATCTGCAAAAAAAAAAAAAAAAAAGTGTGTTTTGAAAATCAAATGTGATGGGAAGTGGATTCTCCTCCTTGTTACCTTGCTTCAATCAAGGTCACCGTAACCGCCGTCGTCACTCCTCGGCGGCGAATCCCTCTCATTCCGATCTGATTGACTCTTTCCGTGAGCCGTTGGATGAGACTTTAGGCCATTCTTACTGTTACGTTCCTTCTTCTTCTAATCGCTTCATTTCTCCTTTTCCTTCCGATCGATTCGTTTCTCCTACTGCTTCTTTCCGGTTATCTCCTCCGCATGAACCGGGTCGAATCCGAGGTTCCGGATCATCCGAGCAGCTTCACACCGGGTTTAGAGCGATTTCTGGTGCTTCTGTTAGCGCCAACACTTCCAATTCCAAAACTGTCCTTCAGCTTGAAGATATTTACGACGATGCCACTGAGAGCAGTTTCGGCGGCGGCGTTAGGAGGAGTGTGGTGAATGCCAATGGCTTTGAAGGAACGTCGTCGTTTAGTGCTCTTCCGCTTCAGCCCGGTCCGGATCGCTCGGGTCTCTTCATGTCCGGTCCGATCGAAAGAGGAGCCACTTCAGGTCCGTTAGACCCGCCGGCCGGAGAGATTTCGAGATCTAATTCCGCCGGTGTGCATTTCTCAGCGCCGCTCGGTGGTGTTTACTCGAAGAAGAGACGGAAAAAGAAGAAGAAGAGCCTTTCCTGGCATCCGATTTTCGGCGGGGAGAAGAAGCAACGGCCATGGGTTCTTCCGGTGTCGAATTTCGTCGTCGGTGCTAAGAAGGAGAACATTGTGAGACCCGACGTTGAAGCTATGGCAGCATCTTCCGGAGAGAACGATTTGCAGTGGGCATTGGGGAAGGCAGGAGAGGATAGAGTGCAATTAGCTGTTTTTGAGAAGCAAGGATGGCTCTTTGCTGGAATCTACGACGGTTTCAATGGACCCGACGCGCCGGAGTTTCTGATGGCTAATCTCTACCGTGCTGTTCATAGTGAGTTACAGGGTTTGTTCTGGGAATTGGAGGAAGAAGATGATAATCCAACAGATATTAGCACTAGAGAGTTAGAGCAACAAGGTGAATTTGAGGACCATGTAAACGAAATGGCAAGTTCGAGCTGTCCAGCAACAGAGAAGGAAGAAGAAGAGATGGGAAAGAGATTGACGTCTTCATTAGAGGTGGTTGAAGTCAAGGAGAGGAAACGGCTATGGGAGCTTCTGGCAGAGGCTCAAGCAGAAGATGCGTTAGATCTTTCAGGTTCTGATAGGTTTGCATTTTCGGTGGATGATGCTATCGGTGCAGGCAATGCTGTGTCTGTGGGAAGTAAGAGATGGTTGCTTTTGTCAAAATTGAAGCAGGGTTTATCTAAACAAGGAATTTCTGGGAGGAAGTTGTTCCCATGGAAGTCTGGTGTGGAGGAAAATGAAACGGAGGAGGTAGATAATGTTGGTGTGGAAGAAGGGGTTGATAAGAGAAGGAAGAGACGAAAGGCGGGTACCGTTGATCATGAGTTGGTTCTAAAGGCAATGTCAAATGGTCTTGAAGCCACAGAGCAAGCATTCCTAGAGATGACTGATAAGGTTCTCGAAACCAATCCTGAGCTTGCATTGATGGGTTCGTGCTTACTGGTTGCACTGATGAGAGATGATGATGTGTATATAATGAACATAGGGGATAGTAGGGCTCTTGTTGCACAATATCAGGTAGAAGAAACGGGTGAGAGTGTGGAGACAGCAGAAAGAGTAGAAGAAAGACGCAATGATTTAGACAGAGACGATGGAAACAAAGAGCCTTTGGTCGTGGATAGTAGCGATAGTACAGTGAACAACGAAGCTCCTTTGCCGCAAACGAAACTGGTTGCCCTGCAGCTAACAACAGATCACAGCACAAGCATCGAGGATGTAAGTCTGACCTTGTGAAATCTCTTCAGTGTTTTTTCTTTGTAGACTGTAGTTGCTTGGTCTCTTGATCTAGAATGTACAGTCTAATTGTTAAGTAGTTTTGGAATGCTCTTGACCATATAGTTGTTTCTGCATTCCCCATCATATCCGCATTTGTAGGATACTATGGATCAGATGAAGTTCCTTAGTTTGATCAGTTCTGCTTCTTGCAATGTTCTTGTTGCATGATAATTTCCATTGATGAACTCAGGAAGTAACAAGAATAAAAAACGAGCACCCCGATGACAACCATTGCATAGTGAATGACAGGGTGAAAGGACGGCTTAAGGTGACCAGAGCGTTTGGAGCGGGATTCTTAAAGCAGGTTAGTCAATAATATCTTCACCTTACAATCGAAATATCCATCACTCCGTAATTCTCATAAAGAATGTGAATTTGCAGCCAAAATTGAACGATGCTTTGCTGGAAATGTTTCGAAACGAATACATTGGTACGGATCCATACATATCATGCACACCTTCCCTTCGTCACTACCGGCTAACAGAGAATGATCAGTTTATGGTTCTCTCATCGGATGGATTGTACCAATACTTGAGCAATGTGGAAGTTGTTTCTCTTGCCATGGAGAAGTTTCCAGATGGAGACCCTGCTCAACATGTTATACAGGAACTTCTAGTCCGTGCAGCCAAGAAAGCTGGTAGATAAAACTTGCCTTTTTATACACAACTGAATATCTGTGCGATATGGTTTGATGATTGATTGTTTTAAAAACAGGAATGGATTTTCATGAACTTCTCGATATCCCGCAAGGAGATAGAAGAAAGTATCACGATGATTGCACTGTATTAGTGATAGCACTTGGAGGAAGTAGGATATGGAAGTCATCAGGAAAGTATCTTTGAGACCATAAACCACACAGTTCGATGAAGCCAACAGATAAAAAACGCTCCTTATAGATTAACTTCTTTTGACTTAATGCAGCATAAGATCAAAAGGGTGCCAAGTTTTCTTGCTTTTTGTTTCCTTAGGAATTTTGGGTCAGATTAGGTGGGGGTGTTTTATATTTTGTTTCTTTGTTGAATAGGGTAGGGATTGGAATAGCGGTGAAACCAAAAACAAAAAAGAGGATATGTAATTTGGGGGGTGGGGACAAAAGGGTAATATATAGAACATTTTCCTCCTGGGAAAAAAAAATTAAGAAAAAATACTATTTTCTTCTCTGGCTTTCTTAATCGCATACTGTTCCTCTTTTTATATATTTCAATTTTAAGTAGAACCTTGCTCCAAATTACAATTGTTTGTGAACTGAAATTTTTTATTCATATAGGAAAGTACAAACAATAATGTGACTATTTGCTATTAGAAAACTAGATAAGCACATATGACTAATAGTTCTTGGAGGCAATTAGTTTTCGTTCTAGTGTTCGGAAAATCATATTGTTTTAACTATTAAGTCGTATCAATCTCAGTTGATTGTTGTAGTAAAATCTCAATATCGTGTAATTTGTTTATTTTTTGTATACCGTTTCACTACGCATAAAGTATATTGTTTAACTTATCTAGAGCCGGACAGCATGCTGTTTTCTAACTAACTAAAAACGGCTTTTTTAACTCACACCACGATCCAACTGTTAATATTCATAACGAGACAAAAACGTTCTCTCTTTTTTCTCCCACTTTTAGAGAGATGAACTCTGTTTCTCCGACTAGATTTTTCAGTAAATCGCCGTCTCGTATGACTCGAGCTTTTGTCCAGCATCTGATGGCCCTGTTAGCCAAGATTGTTGGCTTCCGTCCAGAATCAACTGGCTTCCTCAGCCGTGATGTCCGGCTTCTCTCCGACATGGATGGTTTCTTTAATTCTCTTTGGTCGGCTTCCGTCTGGAATCTATTGGCTTCCCACGCAGTGATGTCCAGCTTATCAACTGACATGGATGGTTTCGTTAACATCCTTTGGTCGGCTTCCGTACTTATTTGCTTTGAATAATTTTATGGGATTTCTCATTGGTGATTTCAATTTAGTGAATTTTCACTAATCAATTGTTTTCACTGATTTATCCTTTGAGTTTCTGGTTTTTTCATATGTTATATCAGATTTTCAGGAATTATCCTAGTGATTTGCAGTTTTAATTGAAGAGAAGAAGTAGAAGAACCGAAGCATACTATCAATTCCCTTTAGCTGTTATCCTCTTATGGACTCCAATTTTGTTAAACGGTGAAAAACCACAAGATTTACTGAACGAAAGAATATCGACGGTGACTCTTGTCACCGGAATCGGTGGTGTACGGCAAGGTTAATGTCGGTTTGTGATGGAAGCTCTCTGTTTGTTCTAATTGAAACACGTGTTAGTGATGGAGGCTCTCTGTATTTTCCTCTTCATTAGGGTTATGTTTAGGCTCATGCTGGGCTTTAATTAATTTTTGTAAAATCATAGTTACAGGGCTTTTGTTTATATTAGCCCATATTGTTGGTTCAGTACTTCAGTTCAATAAAATCCAACTTTTGTGAGAAAAAAAAAAAAACTGTTAATATTCTTCTATTAATATAAATATCTAAGTTAATTAGAGGGGGTTATATGCAAATCAACAATTTAGCAAATATCGTCATTCTCAGTTTCTCCATCATCTTTGTTTGATCAAAGTTGCTACACCACAGCTCGGCCACTGGTTTTGGGCATTTTCTTGGATGTAGCTGCAAAAAAGATACATCATGGGATGAGATTATTTAATATTAGAGATGGATTCCGAATTCATAGAACCAAGTAAGGATTAGACGAAGAGAAAGCACAGTATTATTACCATCTTCAACGTCCTTGAGCTGATAATAGTGTGGAGCTATCTCAATCAACCACTCGGGTTTTAACTCTGTTACCTGCATTTTTTAAGTTAAAAGAACAAACCCGATAAATGAAACCAGAAGAATCAACCCAAAGAAGGCTTTGGTTCAGAATGATCGAAATGTGGTTTACAAAGTAAAAAACAAAAACAGAATTTTACCTGTCGCATGTATTCCTTAGAGGTAAGGACTAGTTGATGATATACAACCCATCTCGGCAATACCTAACAATATTATCGGAGAAGGATTCATTTGTTTGATTTCTCTATTTTTTAGTTATATGTTTTCAATGAGTGAGAGTTAAACTAAACCTGAGATAAGCCAGAGGCTGGATGTATGTGTACGGTTTGGGGATGCTTCACTGTTCGATATGATCCATTCTTCTGTAGCTTCGCAGTGTGTGGAAAGAAACCTGAGCATAAGTATACAACTGCTTTAGCAACAACAAATATAGCTTTTTATGAACTGGAGATTAAGAAATTTACCAGCTACAATGGATTTTCTTATTGAATCCAACTCATTCGCGTTTGAGCTAACGTCTATTTCAACTCTCTCGAGAAGACCCTCCAACTGATCACGGATATCTCTGGCTCTTTTCATACTCCGAACCTATACACATAGGATTCAAAAACCCATTCTATAACTATAACCAGAAAAATAAGAACAGAGGATGATGCCATATACATACCTGAATATAGTTCTCGTAGCACCATTGTGTTGAGTAGTTCGTTTCCTTCCACGAATTGTAAATCTTTCAGAAAACAAAGAAGACATATTAATAAACAGTAAGACTGCAAAGAAAAACAAAGTAGGGGAGAAATGTACAGACCTTCAGGAAAGCAATGTGATCACCGACATTTCCAACGTGAAAATTCTTCATTGCATTGTCAGCGTGAACTTGCTTGTCCTTGGGGCGGTAAAAGATAGAAGGCCCGATGGACAACATAGCAGCAATTGATATAATCTCATCGGAGCATTTGTATTTGTCAGAAACAACAATCATCTTCGACAACATTGGATCAAGAGGAAACTCTGCCATCCGTCTACCAGCTTTAGTCAATTCGCCAAGCTGATTGAGAGCACCCAGAGCAAAGAGCAGCTCTAAGGACTTTATAAGAGCTTCAGAAGGCGGAGGGTCCATAAAGTCAAAGTTCAGCAGATTATGAATACCAAGACTCTTCAAAGAAAGCACCACACTAGCAAGATTAGTCCTTTGTATTTCAGGTACGGTATTGTCCTCCAAGTCATTGTAGTAATTAAACGCCGTGTACAGGCGGTAACACTTCCCTGGACTGGTTCTTCCAGCTCGACCAGTTCGTTGAGTCGCTGAAGCCTTAGAGATAGGCGTTACAAGCAAAGATTCCATCCCTGTTCTAGGGTTATAGGATTTCATCTTGCTAAAGCCTGGATCAACGACATACTTTATACCATCGATGGTCAATGATGTTTCAGCAATATTAGTTGCTAGCACGACTTTTCGTGCCCCTTCAGGAGTTGGTTCAAATATTTTTGCTTGGAGCTCACTTGGAAGGTTAGCGTAAATTGGGCATATAATGAGTTCGCGGATCTTTGTACCCAAACCTCTTATCTTGTGCTTCAAGTTCTCTTCTACGGCTTCAATTTCCTCTTGACCTGGGAGGAAGACCAAAACATCCCCAAGTGGCTCCTTCACATGTATCGTAAGCACAGTAGTTATTGCTGCGTCCATGTAATCAGCTTCAGGTGCAGTAGTAAAGCAAATGTCAACAGGATACCTTCTTCCTGGGAACCTGAAGATAGGGGCTTGGTCAAAAAAATCAGAAAACTTCTCTGCATCCATGGTTGCACTGGATATCAATAACTTCAGATCAGGCCGAGCCCGTGCTATATCCTGCCATAAGAAGAGAGAATCAGAACATATCCAAAGATCTAACTCTAATTGAATAATGTAAAAAGATAGCTAGGTATCTACTTGCCTTCACTAATCCAAATAGTATGTCGGTGTGCAAAGTTCTTTCATGCGCCTCATCCACGATGATAACACTGAAAGGTTCAGCTATTAGTAAGTAAAGAATATATCACATGCCCCATGCTAAGACAAATTGGCTAGGAATGTTGATTACCTGTAACTGCCCAGATCTGGCTCACCAAGCAACTCACGCAAAAGCATTCCATCAGTCATATATTTCAGAATTGTTTTCTCAGACGTACAATCCTCAAATCGAATGGAATAGCCGACCTGTGTCAAGCACCACCAAAGATTTAGCTTCTTGCAGTGTATGCTTAAACAAATGTGTAACAAACAATTTCCAAAAGGAAAAATGTTAAGACGACTAACAAAAAGAAAACGTACCTCATGCCCAAGTTTACCACCCATCTCTTGAGCAACACGAGCAGCCACACTCATAGCCGCAACTCTTCGAGGCTGCGTACAACCAACCTGCCGTATGACAAAATAATTAGGGTGCTTAAAAATAAGTTTATGCTTTACCAACATCTGCCTTTTTTGTTTTTATACTTTCCAAATCATCTGGCCACAAAGATTATGCACAAAGGCAATCCTCGTGAACCTCTAATAAGCTAGCTTCTAAAATATAAAGCAGAAAACTCTAATAAACGGGCTATACTTGCTTGTGGCAACTTTGACATGCTAAAGCTCTCGACTACAGAATAAATAACACATCATTTATTGATGACACTTAAATTCCTCTATTAAATGCTTTACAAGCATATCATTTATTTGATAATGTGCTTCAATTAAGGTCAAGTGTACCTTTCCAAGCTTTGTGTAACCAGCTTCGTGAAGATATTGGGGTATCTGTGTAGTCTTGCCAGAACCCGTTTCCCCCACAATGATAAGAACCTGGTCAGTTAAAAATGAGGGAAAAGGGTTTGAATCATACATGTCACAGAAGAAATCGTTATTCAAATAAAAGAAAAAATATATGCATTTTCATAATGAAAAACTTTAATCCACATCAATAAGATATGCTAGCTTTTCTCATACATGTTCTCTTATCAAAGTACTTTTTATTATTTAATTCTATGTCATAGACTTAGATGCTGTCAGGATGAAATTTGGTCCTTATGGATTGCTAGGGAAATGTGACGAAATGATTTTGTAAATGTACAACTTTCCTTGGAAATTTGAGAGGAAAAATCAATAACTTAAACAAAAAATAAGTGACATGAAAGTAAGAATCACCTGATGATCTTTCACAGCATTAAGAAGTTGATCACGATATGTATAAATTGGCAGAGCTTTTCTATCCTCCTGATTAATTCATGAATAACATAAAAACATGTCAGAAAATTTATCAACTTTTCCCAGGGAACTTCAAACATGTAGACATACAATTATTCAGATGTTTTATGGCAAGGAAACATCTAAACAGTGCTCCAGCCGTTGAAATTGATGAAATAGGACAAGCTGAGAAAAGAGGAAAACCTGAAGCATATGAAAAGCCGATTTCCCAGCAGAATCTTGAGATGGTTTAGCATGCATTTCATCTTCATACTGTAATGAAAAAACGAGTGGCCAGCTAAAACTCCGTGCATAAAAAGAAATACTACAGGCATAAATAGGTATCATAGTCAATACATTATCACCAGCCAACACAGATGCCTTTATGAAGTCTATTTGGTCTTCAAATACAAACCTGCAAAAGTAATTTTCATGGTCAAAAAGATAGCAAGGATAATCAGTCGAAGGTAAAATTTGAAATCAAAATATAACACGAGTAGGACAAAAAGGTAACAAATCTTACTCGTAATTGTCTGAGACCTCCTTATTCTTTGCACCAAATTTTAATGCTGCGTTTTCTGCATGAAAATGTCATTTAGTTAATATCACAAATGATGTCGTTTAAATAGAGCATGCATTTAAAACAAGATTGGTCATTGGTAAAAGCGCTAAACAGAATACTACCAATCTGATGGTCCTCCCAAGCTTCTTGCTCTGCAAAGGGGTTCATTTTCTCTGCGGAACCCATGTCCCTAATCAAATAAGATAATTTAGAACATACGTTAGCCTTTTACAACACAAAGAAGAGTGATCTTTTAAAAGTGTAAGCAAAGTAGAATGTTATGGATTCCAAGTCATGCATTCTTTCTCATCTCACCTGTACCGTTGTACAGAAACAGCAAACCTCTTCTCCTGATCAACACTTCCCTGTTGATCATATGCATCCGGCATTCTATACTGTACTCCAACGAGGTTGAAAAAAAAGAGATAAGTACAAATAATTCAGAAGAAGGAAAACTAAAATCATCAAGAACACTTGAAGCATTCTAAAAAATAGCCAAAAAGTTAAGAAGGGTACAGTAAGATGCAATTACCTCTCCTACATTATCTTCTTCTTGTGTACTTTTCTTTATGAGCTCATAGATTTCTCTCTTGTATCTGTCAAGATATCAGATCGACCAATGCTCAATTATATTAGCCAAAAATTAACAAATCCTAGCAAATCAGAATAAACCACAGCTTCAGATTGTAACAAAAAAAGTCCAAAAGTAAGCCACTACTGTGACTTTTTATAATC